TCTATCTATCTATCTATCTATCTATCTATCTATCTATCTATCTATCTATCTATCTTACCTATCTTTATCAAGATTTTTTTTCTATCTATAATTTCTCGATAATGTTTAATCACAGACAAAGCCGAACGTTCAAGGAAACCACGGAGACGGCATGTAGTGCTCAAATTGTATCGAGTGGCCCACTATTATGTCCAAACATTTTGATTGATCATGGCCGCTCCCTTAACCCTATCCGTACGCCCTGGGGTCATTTTGTACCCCCGGGGTTGTATTCTTCACACTTTGGAATACTTATTGTAGAAAATCTCTTTGAAACTTTCAGTATTTCTCAAAACATCACTTTGACAAACTGCTATGCAAAGGGTACGGATCGGATTAACGAGTAAATTTCCTCTTCGGAAGTGGTGGCACAGAGTTCCCCACGTCGTATGGATACGACAGTAAAACACGACATACGGATAGGGTTTAGTGATGGCACAGAGTTCCCCCACGTCGTACGGATACGATAGTAAAACACGACGTACGGATAGGGTTAAGTGGTGGCACAGAGTTCCCCCACGTTGTACGGATATGATAGTAAAACACGACGTACGGATGGGGTTAAGTGTTGGCACAGACACAGAGTTCCCCATGTCGTACGGATACGACAGTAAAACACGACGTACGGATAGGGTTAAGTGGTGGCACAGAGTTCCGACGTCGTACGGATACGATAGTAAAACACGACGTACGGATAGGGTTAAGTGGCCGCACAGAGTTCCCCACGTCGTATGGATACGATAGTAAAACACGACGTACGGATATGGATAAGGGGTTAAGGGCCAGCCATTGACCACCCTGTGGGGGGCCAGACACAAATTATACTGACCACACAATGCCAAGTACACATTCAACGAGTGGAGATATCGAGCTGGCGCTCAACACAGAAAAAAACGGTGGCCTTTTGATCAGTTGGCTTCTTTCGCCAATACTTAATCTATGGCAATGACAAGCTTGATTCATCTCCCAGGGGGGTATTATTAGTTCCTCTTGGGTCGTTTACAACGGCAGCGGTGTTGCAAGTTTTGCTGTGCGTTCACGCGTGCACTAGACAAGAAAGGACACAAATCCTCGAGAATAACATTTATATTTTGTTGGTCCACACACTGCCTGTTCGTATGTGTGTGTGTGTGTGTGTGTGTGTGTGTGTGTGTGTGTGTGTGTGTGTGTGTGTGTGTGTGTGTGTTTGTGTGTGTGTTGCCAAGTGCGTAAGCGTGTATGTATTTACCACAACGAGGCAATTTTTTCTGAGAGGAGATCTATAATTAACTTTTTTAAATTGTTATCTTATCTTAGACCCGTGTTGAAACATCCCGTCAATTTTTGGGCATGCAGAGTTATTGATATCATCTTAAAGCTTGTTCAATTGTCTTTATTTTGATGAAAAAAAATATCCATTTATCTTGAAATTTTTAAATTTTTGGCTCAACACCTTTCACGCCCATTAAAGGCACAAAAAATTTAAAAATTCAGTTACCACAGACTCTTCAGCTAAGGAAATAACTAATCTTTGGCGGCCATTTTCTCACTAATGTTACCTCTGAAAACAAGTGACCCACACCTCCTTCTTTCGCAAATATCTCGACTTGCATTCAAGATAAATGGATATTTTTTTCTTCCAAATTAAGACAAGTGAACAAACTTTAAGATGATACCAATAACTGTGGACGCCCAAAAATTGAAGAGAGCCCGATTCCACCACGCAGCCTCACATTTATGTAATATTTTCTCAAAGGCTGTCGAGTGGTTAGTTAAAGGCTCAGGCTCACAATGTTAAGCGTGTCATGACACAGCGTGTAGCTGGATGGTCACTGCTACATGTGTACTTATGCAAAACACAATGACCCTAACTAAAAAAAAAAAAACATGCCCCTGAGCAGTAGTGACCAGCAATGGTGTACATGTGGTCTGTCTATGTTTGTGATACTGTGTATCCTTTATGCACATAAGTATAAATGTATACGTTTATTTGTGTATTTATGTACAGTAAGCCATATATAATAACATACTAGCTGGGCCCCCTTTCGATGAAAGGGATGATCGGTGCTTTGATATCAACTAAAAGTCATTGGCCTACTATATTTACACTCTACTGGAATGGGGAAATAAATCTTGAGAGAGGCAAAAAATTAGAAGGTCTAGATATCTAGATCTATACTCTCAAAACAAAATGCGCCTCGCGAAATATCACTTCCGGATTTTCTAAAATTACAGAGACAGAAGCGTCGGCCTACAAAAGCGATCGGCGAAATAAAGAAATTTAGCTTTTTGTAGCAAAACTGTCTCAAAACTGAAAAAACCAAGGGCGCCAAGATCTGGAGAATATTTTAAAGAATTTTTTGGCGAAAACTGCATGTCGATCGATGCAGCCATTAAAAAGCCTTTTAAATAGCAAAATTCTGCCACCACAAATAGATAATAGATTATACGGGAACAATAAAGTAGAATTTACTTGAATTTCTGAAAAATGAGAAGTTATAAGAGGCAAAATTTCACAGTTCTGGGGGACGTAAGATTAGAGACTGTGACGCTATCAGTCAGCAGAGATAAGAAAAGTAAAGTACAGTCAAAACTGTTCCAGGCAGCCATCCATTGTCGAGGAGGCAATTAGTAAACTTAGAAAGGTGGACATCTTGGAAAGTGTCAATAATATAATATAGAAAAATTGCAAGATTGGGGGAGGGGGAGAAGAGATCATTTGAGCAGGTGATTGTCTTGGCACTGAGCTCTTAGAGCAGGTTCAACTTTATGTGAAACAGTAGAAATGTCACAGCGAGATATATTTCGAAGTAGGGGATAGGGAAAGATGGACAGTGCACACTCCTGACTAGCCATGAGTTGGCACGACGATGTGCCCAGGAGATTGGAGGAAATGTAAGTCAAATCTCTATTCGCTCTCTTTGTCTTCCCTTTTCTTTCTGTCTCTGCATCTCTCTTTGTCTTCCCCTTTCATTCTGTCTCTGCGCCTCTCTTTCTCTTACCCTTTCATTCTGTCTCTGCGCCTCTCTTTCTCTTACCCTTTCTTTCTGTCTCTGCGTCTCTCTTTCTCTTACCCTTTCTTTCTGTCTCTGCGTCTCTCTTTCTCTTCCCCTTTCTTTCTGTCTCTGCGTCTCTCTTCATCTGCCGTCCTGTCTGTTTGTTTTTCCATTTGTTGATCTATCTGTTTATCTGTCTGTGTGTGTCCGTCTGTCTGTCTGTCTGTCTGTCTGTCTGTCCATCTCGCTCTCCTTCCTTCTCTAATGTACCTACATTGCACAGTTTGCCCACAGAAGCACAAAGGAAGAGCTGAGATCTAGAGATTTGCCAGGGTGATGCTTACCTTTATCTTCTTCCCTCCTTCCTTGGAAAGTGTAAGGTTTAGAGAGGTAATCATATCCAAGTTATCCTCTTTGGCCACTTTCCTGATGAGATCCTCCGTGATGTATCGGACTCCGGGCTGGGAGGCTGAAAGGCGAGAAAGACAACACTGATAAATCCTTGCCCTCTATACACATACACCGCAAAGTCTGCTTGAACCGAAATCTGCAGGACCGCAAGATTGTCTCTGTTTAGCCAGGTTTTTGGTTAAGAGAGGTTGCTTGAATAGAAATACATTACATGTGGATTCTATTTTCTTTCCGTTAACCGCGGTTTTCGGATAAACCCTGTTTGGTTTAAGTGGACCCACTGCACATGCGTTTCAAGATTTAAAATCCTATCAAGCAAAGAGAAGTCTGGGATTTGAACATATGAATGTTTTGAGATAAGTTTATGAGACTGGGTGAAACTTCAAGAGGAACAACTTTAAACCCTTAAAATCGATGACAACATTTTAAAGTGATACAGTGAAACAGGAAACAAAAATTAAGTATAATTGAAACTGACTAAGAGGCTACTCAATATCGAGAAGAAAAACAGCCACCTTAGACAGGTGGACATTCTTCACAGTGTCATTGTAATGTAAGAAATACCCAACGGAAGACTTGAGAAGTGACCATTTGTACAAGTGGTTGTCTCATACAGATGGTCGTTAAAACAGTTTCGAGTGTACATATCAGTCCATGTAACAACTTATAACTAACATCTACAAAAGTTCCACCAAACGGTCATGAAATAAACATAGAACCAGAACTGACCCATGTTTTGTGTTGAGGTCCTCGCAGGTGACAGAAACGAGGTGCGCCTCGAGTCGCCCGGAGAATGGGCTCTTCGAACTGCCGGAGACACGGCCCGCCTCCCAGTCGATGACGGACTCTGACTGACGCCATACTGAAGAGAGGAAGAGGTCAGAGGTCAGGATAGTAAAATAAAACAAGGAGTACTGGAGAGAGAAGAAGAGGTCAGAGGTCAGGATAGTAAAATAAAACAAGGAGTACTGGAGAGAGAAGAAGAGGTCAGAGGTCAGGATAGTAAAATAAAACAAGGAGTACTGGAGAGAGAAGAAGAGGTCAGAGGTCAGGATAGTAAAATAAAACAAGGAGTACTGGAGAGAGAAGAAGAGGTCAGAGGTCAGGATAGTAAAATAAAACAAGGAGTACTGGAGAGAGAAGAAGAGGTCAGAGGTCAGGATAGTAAAATAAAACAAGGAGTACTGGAGAGAGAAGAAGAGGTCAGAGGTCAGGATAGTAAAATAAAACAAGGAGTACTGGAGAGAGAAGAAGAGGTCAGAGGTCAGGATAGTAAAATAAAACAAGGTATACATAACTAGTAACAATTTTTTAGAAATATAATGATTACCCATTGATAAAATTCTTTATAAATTTATTATCTCTGCCATCATAAACAGTAAGTATGATACAGTCAAAATTGTCGAGTGAGGCTATCCATTGTTGAGGAGAAAGGTCGTTGTATTAGACAGGTGAACGTCTTGCAGTATTGCTATAGCAAAGAAAAAAATGGGGACTGGTCACAGGGGGGGGGGGGGGGAGGGGGATCTAGTCATCTGTACAGGTGATTGTCTTGGATAGGTAACCATTTATTTTACAGCAGATTCAACTGTATTAGTATCGAGGCCAGTATGAAATTACTGAACTTCCAGGATTATAGAACAGATGTCTGCTACAAATATTATAACAAGAAAATTTGTATTTTATATTTTTAATAAAATCTGTACAAAATTGCTTTTTTTCAGTAAATGACAACATCACAATAAAAAAGAGTAAATATCTCTCCATCTTTTTAAACGAGATAACCATATAAAAGAAATCTCCTTTCAAACTTCAGCCCCACCCCTTACAAATTCCCCATTGAAACTATTCACCTGTCGAGGTATGTCTTCAGCAGAGTGGGTCAAGTTGCCACGCCCTCTCCCTCCCTGGGAGGATGTGATACTGTTGGCGGGACTAGCCCGAGAGATGGTAGGCACAGGCAAGTTTGACGGGCCACCTTTGGCCCCCCCTCGTCTATTCATGGTTGCAGACTCTGTCTGGACTAACCTGGGGAAAAAAAAAAAGAAGGTAAAAAACAGTAAGCTGTAAAGTGTTATGTAGAAAAAGAATAATCAAAACCAGTATCACAAGGAGAGACATCGTGAGAACCGGGATATTGTGAGAGAACAAACTCAACTCCCTGCTTGAAACACACAGATTAAAAAAAACAAACGAAACGGTTGAAGTACTTGTAAAGATTAACACCAAACAGTATAACAGCAAGAGAATAGGCCTACAAGATATCAGGTGGAAATATAGGGAGGGGTAAGTCCAAGAAAAGATGGAGAGAGGGTGTTACAGAAACATCAAGAAAAACATAACCATACAATTAAACAAGCAATACGCGGCCTCTCGTGGCCTAGAGGTTAAGGTGTTGGCCTCTCATTCAAAAGGTCCCGGGTTCGAATCCGGGTAGCGACCAAAAAATTTTCTTCTCTAAATTTGTCTCCTTTCACCTCATTTCCTGCTCTCTAGCAATGTTCTGTCGTCTGCTTTCATCCCTTCTTTCTGCCCCCACCCCCTCACCTCCTTTGCCCCTTCCTCTGGGCTCCTGATTCTTTCTGCAGCCTTTCTACTGCTACTCCTTCGCTTCTTCTTACTGCAGTCTTTCAGCCACACCCCTGATCTTCTGGTAGGAAAGATCTACATCTAGCCTTCTCGGACAAGGGCGAAAAATCTCGGAGGGCCCGTGTGCTAGCTGCGCACGTTAAAGATCCCTTGGTGGTCAAAAAATCGATAAGAGTAGGCTTCGGCCGCCACCCGGGCAAAATTCAAAATTTCCTACCAACTGAAAATATTAGGTGTGTCCCGCGCGCTCATATGACCTTATGCAGTTGCGAGCGCCGTAAAACACTTTACACAAAAAAACAACAGGCAATACAACAAACAAGAAAAAGATGTTTGCTTACCCCTCAATACCACAAGGTAATTAAGAGAGGCTAGAAAAGGTGGGAAAAAAAGAAAAAGAAAAGAGTAAAGTCCCCAAACCAGTGGAGCTTTCATTTTCATCTGAATGTCCTTGAGATACAGAAACTTTACCTGCAGTGACACTATACAACAAAACTCATTGTTTTTTAATGTCTTTACTTATATACAGGAGTGACAGTATAAAAACACAACATCTCATGTGGTCTGCTTTTTATGTTTCTAAAATATTTGTTCAAATTCTAGATCTAGATCTAGATCTAGGTCTAGAATCTAGAGGTCTACTGTGTATTTATAACATAAAAATGTAACAAAAATGTTCAGTTTAAAATTAATTTGTTTCCTAACACTGTTTATATAAATATATGTGGCAAATATTACAAGGAGATATTGGTGGTTTTTGCTAGTTTGTTTATTTTTTTGTGCTTGCTCTTTTTAATTTGTTTTCTGTTTTGACATTCGAATTTGGTTTTCTGAGGGGGGGGGGGGGGGGGGGGTAAAAAGCAGGAAAATGCACTATCCGTGTTTGAATCTTGGCATTTATTTGTGAAAACAAAGGGGGGGGGGGGATCAATGCTTGCCTATTCTACGGTAAAAGACAGAATTAGAATACAGCAAACAGACGACATGATTTTAATATTTGTGGAAGAACTGAAACTGAAAACTCCTAATAAATAAGTAAGACAAGAAAGAAACTTAATACACAGGGTACTAACTCTATTCTAGAAGCTTCAAAAATAATAAATTGGCTCAATAAGAAGCCTAGTTCCAAAATAGACCAGCAATATCGTTATTGAACTGTGTATTGGAGAATCACTTGTAATCGTTATACCTAAATCTATACTCTATACACACGCACGTAGAGCAACTTGTACGAACCTGTACGCCAGTTTATCCCCACTGATTAATTAAAATAAATGCTATAAATATTCAAAATAATGGAACAAAAGTAATCAATATTCCATGCTGCTCCATTTTTTCAATCGTAATTCTCTTTTCTATGCGTTTTAATAATGTCTTACAGTGCAATCAAACAATTGGAGTGAGAAAGTCCCTCGGAACACCGAAACGAGCCGCCATATTGTTTACCAAATCCATTCACTGCGGATTACTATGATACCAAGTTAAAAGGATAGAATTTTTTTGGTAACAATGTTGAATTTTATGAAAAACTAAATCAAATAAAAGAATCACTTTAAAAACTGTAATTTATGTCATGTATGGGCATTTCTGTAAAAGTTACTCAAGCTTACAATACATCTTTGCACCAAACAAACTATTTTGAACTGTTGGACTACAATACACGAAGGTCTATGACAAATAGGGTAAGGGAGTAAACTCTCAGACAATTTACAGCAACATTCGGCAACTCATGAACAGCTGTAGAGGAACTGCGATTGACTTTTCTCTTAACAGCTGGACTCATCGTAGAACAAACTCTCAAACATGGGTAGATCAATTATTGCAGACGAATCTGTGCAAAAATACATTGAAAAGCTTGCAAAGGAGAATAAATGGTTTATTGGCGTTATAATTGGACAGGTAGGTTGATCGTTTGTTTTTGGTAGCCTCCGCCGGGTAGGCTTAAAACACACACACAGTCCTGAGTCCAGCTTGTCTGTCATAATAAGACCGGCCGGCACAGCAGACTACAACAATTTGTGTCAAAGGGAGGGTTTCCGTAACAAGCGACCACAATGAAACAGAGTAAAATATACGGTTTGGGGTAGGGTAAGGGTTGGGTCAGGGTTAGGTCTCTTATTGTGTTTTTTGGGGTGGTTGCTCGGTACGGAAGTCCTTAGCCTTAGACTAGATCTAAGGCCTGATGAGAACTCTACCGTCCATGTCATGAGTGAATGGCGTGACTAGATCTTATCTAGTTGATGGCTTTTGTTTTCCTTTAGGCCTACATCTCTATCCAATTGGGGAAGAGAAAGTTCCCTTTTTAGCTGTTTGGCAGCCTGTTTTGTGAGAATTTTGGATAATTTAACGAAAGACTTACAATCCTTTAAAATGAATTGACACTGGCGACAGTGACGCAGGGGCCTACTGTTATGACTATTTTATATAAATCCATTTGATCAACGACATTATAAGGTACGCTTTCTTTTTTCTTTTTTTGTTTTGCTTTACTCTTTATGTGTTTTACTATGTGAAATTTCTAGAGAATCAGTCTACTTTGTCACAATCTCTCCGCAGCTCACATCACAAAGAGACTACGTGGTGCACCTCGCACGTACCCCTGACCCCGTGGAGGATGAGGTGAGTGAGGAGAACGGTGAGGAAGATGGCGGAGATGGTGTAGTCAACGTGAGGCAGAAGTCTGTCGTAGAGAGACCCGCGTCTCTAGAGGAACTGGACGAGAAGTGGGTGTCAACCCATGCCAAACAGGTCAGTTTTGTTTTTGTAAGAGTCTGTTATTATAAATTATTATAGTGCTCAGATGCATAATTTTTTAAAATTATTGAGTGTAAATTTTTTTTTAATATTTTGGTAGTTGGTTAGTGGCATATTTGCCTTTGACACTGTGTTAAACTTTTTATTTCACAGACCTTTTTGATTTAAATTTCTTTTTCGCTCACATTCATATATTGAGAATATAATAAGAAAGAGTATGATGGCTTAAATTTTGTGGGCAAACTCAACACATTGAATAATCTATCTATAACTTTAAGTACACAATCATAATCATTGAGTTTTTTCTCTTGCACCCACCTACCCCCCACCCCCATTTTGGGCTTAGTATTATATCTGAATAGCTAGATCTAGCTAAAAATACATTTGTTTCTGGCGTGTAGGTGTCCAGAATGCTGCCAGGCGGATTGTCAGTCGTCGGTCTGTTTGCCATCGCTCCCCCAGCCATGCTGAAAGCTGCCCAGACAAAGCTCAGACAGGTTAGCCATGTGTTCCTGCCGCTGTCTCACTGCTTTTTGTTTTCAATTTGGTCTGGAGTTACATCCTTGCTATTTTATAATATATTGTAAATTTTTTATTATGATTATAATAAAATTACATTTTGCATTTTGAATGCACTTACCGTATAAGATCTCATTTTCTAGTAAGACTTTCATCAGTTAAGATTTTCTCTCTGAATGTTGAAAACAGCATTATTTGTGCAAAAGCGGGCAAACATTGAGTTCCCCTGTCCCTTTTCAGCTTACTCTATCTTTCCCCATGTTTTTCTCAAATTGAGAATTTTCTCATTAAACCGTATTCTAGCGATGGAATCAAGTCATTTCCGATAGTTTAGTTATAGGGTTCCCTTAGTTATATAAGTCTGCGTTACATTCGTGATTGTCCCTTATTGATGTTTGTCGTTATTGCGTCTTGTTGTAATGTCCAGATGATGTCCTCTGTGTACAAACAACTGTCGAAGACGTCGCTCACATCCCCCGCGGCCGAGATCACAGACAGGATTCTCTTACAGATGGATACCTCCACCAAAAAGTAAATATGTAGAAGAAATTTTTCAAGATGGCCACCCATTGTTGAGGAAAAAATTGTTTGTCTTAAACAGGTGGACGTCTTGGTCAGTGTTGTTAGGCTATGTTGTAAAAGAATCTCCAGGGGGCAGGAAGGAAGGATCGGGGTGAGTGGTCAGTTGTTCCGGTGAATATCTTTGGCAGATGGCTGTTGGAGCATCATTTTCTACATGGTACTATGACAAATAAAAATGTGTGTGTGTGTTGACATATATATGCATGTGTGCTTGTGTGTGTGTGTGTGTGTGTTGACATATGCATGTGTATGCATGTATTTACCATACTGCAATAGAATTCTCTTTGTAGAGATCAATAAAATGTAACCTTGTCTTGTCTTATCTTATCTTATCTTACCTTATTTTATTTTATCTCATCTTACTTTATTTTCAGACTGACCTGTGTAACTGTGGACATTGCTGACTTCAAGGTAACACGGAATTTCTTTAAAAAATAGAAACTTTGAGCTGCTCACTTTACTGTGTGAAAACTCAAGGAGTGAGGGTTGTATTGAGATAGGTGCATAGGAGGTCGGGTTGACTTCTGTGACAGTGCTTTGCTTGATTTTCTGGTTATTCTGTAGTGAGTGTTTAGGTGTTAATGGAAGAGAGAAAAGGTTAGTCCTTCTTATTCATAGTAGGGCTGGGCAATGAGTCGCTTTAACAAAATCCGGATAATATGTTAGTGCACCTCTTCGGTAAATAATATGTTATGACCCGGTTCGGCAAATGGGTTAGAACCACTTTGACTAACGGGTTAGCACTACTTCAACAAATGGGAGGACCCACTTCGGCAAACGGATCTGGAAAAAGAGTTAAAGAGTCAGAATTCGGATAATGTCTTATTGAGGATTATCTGATTATCCGGATATTTATCCGGATTTTGCCCACCTCTAATTCATAGTACTCTTATGTTCTCAATGTGATGCGCGTGTCGTCGTTGATTGTGCTATGGAAGTGGAAATGTCTGCTTACGTGTTACTATTATTTCTTGCATCATGTGTGTATCTTTCTGTTTTCCTCCTGCGTCCAATCAGAGCGCCCCGAGACCCGCCGAGTGGAAGTTCCAGTCCGGGGGCAGCAAGTGGGTGCGCCTCAACTCCAACATCAACCTGGACATCCCCATCACCGTGCCACAAGACAGCAAGGCGCAGTCACTGTTGAAGCAAATACAGGTAGGCGAGTTCGACTCTGACGTCATTTGTAGAAATACGATATATGCAGTTTTTACGATTTTTACAGGAGAGCCAAACATTTGAACATTGTTACCAAGAAAACAAACTCTTTGCAAATATTCCAAGGCGATATTTTTAAGATTCCATTTTTGATAATAACTTCCTTTTTATTTTTAACCCTATCCGTATTCCTTTGGGTCATTTTGTACCCCCGGGGTTGTATTCTTCACATTTTAGAATACTTCTACTCTAGTGCGATGGTCTCTTTGAATCTTTCAGTATTTTCTCAAAAAATCATTTTGACTGACTGCTATGCAAAGCACACGGATCGGATTAATGAGTAAATTTCCTCTTTGGAAAGTGGTGGCACAGTGTTCCCTACGTCGTATGAATAAGATAATAAAACACGACATATGGATAGGGTTTAAGCAACTGTTGTTTGATTGGTAACAACGTTCAGTTTTTTTGGCTGTCCTGTAAAATTGTAAAAACTGCGTATACTGTATTTTAAAAATGACAGCAGTTGCACAGTTTGATACTTCACTGTGGCACGCAGGAGACCGGAGTTTGACTTGTGAGTGGGGAGAATTTTTATTGAGCATCTCAGCCTTTCTGCTGGGATGTTGTGTCCCTCTCAGCCCGGGTCTGTCTGCTGGGGTGTTGCATCCCTCTCAGCCCGGGTCTGTCTGCTGGGGTGTTGTATCCCTCTCAGCCCGGTTTGGTCTAGACAATAGGAGTAAAAATCCCACCTCCTATAGGATCTGCCGTGAAGCGATGGGGGCATTAAATCTTCTACATTTTAAAAAAAATTGACGACTGTCAGATATTTTTATGTTTCAATGTATAATGAAAGAGATCTTCCCTTATTTCTCTTTGCCAACTCCGGATGCAACTGTCGTGTCTTGTGTGATAATGTTTCCCCAGGTTGGTCTGGCAGACTTTGGCTCATGGATACAGACGAGCGTGGTGACGGTGGGCGGGGCTGTGCGGGCCGGCTCAGAGCCTCTGGTGGCGCAGGGAGAGAAGAAAGGGAAAGGCAAGGGCAGCGCAGCCAGTCAGGACGAGTGCACGTCGTTCGATGTCGGTATTTTCCTGCCCTTTGTGAGTGCGGCTGGTATAGCTTGTTCACTTCTGTCCGTCTATAGTTTTTTACTTACTTACTTACTTACTTACTTACTTACTTACTTACTTACTAACTAACTAACTAACTAACTAACTAACTAACTAACTAACTAACTAAGTAACTAACTAACTAACTAACTAACTAACTAACTAACTAACTTACTAACTAACTAACTACACCATCTGGCGTTTAGGGCAGCAACAAAGGATCTCCAGCTCTGTCTGTTTTGGGCCATCTCGGTCAGCGTTCCCCATGAATGATTCCAGGACTTCATTTCAGACTCTACTGTGCGTCTCCAGGTCACTTTGGGTCTGCCCCTTTTGCGCCGTCCTTCGGGTGTCCAGTGGAGGGCAGTCTTTACAATAGAGTCTGGTTCTCTTCTCAGAACATGTCCAATCCGTCTCCATCTTCTCCTTTTTATTATGGTAGTCATGACTTCTTGTCTACAATGTTTTTATTCTTAAATGTGAAAAAATCTGAATAAATTCATTTTGCGTTAGGCTAGAAAGTTCTGTAAATCAGTTCTCAGATCTTGCCTAATCTTCTAATTTTTTTTTTCCAATGTCCTTGACAGGTGACCTCGGAGGTGCCCCAGGACCCGGTGGTTGGCCAATCACAGGCCACGATCAACATGGTGGGCACGTCGGTGGTCCGGGCGTTTGTGTCTGCGCGGGCGACTGTGGCCGACGCTATAGAGGTCAGACTGCGTTTGTCGCGATATAGAAAGTTTTCTATGCATGAAGCAATTCCAGACCAATGAGAAATTCCTTAAAGCCATACATGTACTCACTTTTAAACTGGTTTACACCCGTCAGCTGTGGGTGGTTGGAGGGTGCTCTGGTGTTGTTTGCTCCTTCTTCCCTATCCAATGTCTATCATCCTTATCTCCTCTCCTTCTTTGTTGTGACTGTTACTCTCTTGTAACACCTCTAATCCAGGGCACTTCTAAGACCTATTGTGTAGCAAGAGCCGGTAAACTCTTACTAAAACGAAAACCATTCGGCAGCAAGTCTAGTCGGAAGTAAGTTTGGGTTTGAAATTACGTCGCTCGGCACGCCTGGAAATCCAGTTTGACCCCAAAAATGCTTTATTATATATGTACATGTACCTATTTTCACCCCTTTTATGATTCTCTGACATTACAAATAGTTTGAGCGCTCACACAAACAAATCCGTAAATATTTGACTGAATTATAGTCTGTTTTAAGGTAACACCCTTCTTGCCTGGATGTGTAAAATTGTGGAATCCCGTGGGTACTGAAAGAGTTAAAAGGTCTCCACTGTATTTGAGTTTGATGTGTCGGTGGTTGACGGGTGCTCTGGTGTGGTTTGTTTCTTCTTTCCTATCAAACATCTATCTTCTTTATCTCCCTTCCTTCTTTTTTGTATTTGTTTCTCTCTTGTAACACCTCTAATCTTCGGCACTTATATAATATGACCTTATTATGTTGCAAGTGCCGTTAAACTCTTTCTAAAGCTAAAACTGAGTTAGATGTTTTCTGTGTTTCCAGGCTGTGAAGACTGACGTTCTGCGTAGCATCATGGCTCGCTGCGAGCTTCTGTGCGAAGAGTTTGACGTGGCGGAGGTCACCCAAGGTCGCAGCGAGGTCTACGACCCGCCCGTGCGTCTGTTCTGCCGTCTGCCGCACACAGCTGTGCAGGTGTGTGACTACGTGTTCCAGGACGAGAAGACAGAGGAGGTGAAGGGACGAATACAGGAGCTGTTGGACATCCAGGTGGAGGAGTTGGAGGAGGCGGAGAAAAGTGCTGGTAGGTGGGACGGGACGCACACACAAATACACCCACAATTACACACACACTAAGAAACACACACACCCACGCATAAATTGATTTTTTTTCACCAAAAGGGAAATTTTTTTTCACCAAAAGGAAAGCCAGTGAGCAGGCTTTAAGATGATACAAATAACCTCATATGCCCAAAAAGTGATGAGCGCCTGATTCTGCCATGTTGTGACACGTTTGTGTGTGCTCTGTGTGTAGTTTACTCCTTCTTTCCTATCAGCCATATATATCATCCTCGTCCTACCTCCTTTTTTTTGTGATTGTTACTCTCTTGTAACGCTTGCTTTGAATCTTTGCCACCTATATGACCTTATTGTGATGCAAGTGCTGTAAAACTCTTGCATAAACTATTACTTTTCTGCAGCCTTTCTACTGCTACTCCTTGGCTCCTTCTTTCAGCCACACCCCTGATCTTATGGTAGGAAAGATCTACACCTAGTCTTCTCGGATAAGGGCGAAAAATCTCGGAGGTCTTATGTGCAAGTTGCGCACGTTAAAGATCTCTTGGTGGTCCAAAAATCTATAAGAGTAGGCTTCGGCCGCCTCCAGGGCAAAATTCAAAATTTCCTACCAACTGAAAATGTTTAATGTGTCCCTCGCGCTCATATGACCTTATGAAGTTGCAAGCACAGTAAAGCACTTATCAACCCCCCCCCCCCCCCCCCCCACCAAAAAAACAACCTATTATTGTTTGTAGGCTGTAGCTAGAGAACTCACTTGTTTGTTTGGTTTTGTTTTGTTTTGTCAGCGGATGACGACACGTGGAGCCAGCCGTCCCTGCCAGGAGTGGTCAGCTCACAGTCGCAAGTCGCAGAACTGACGGAGAAGAAAAGTTCTGTCCGGGCCTATCTCGGTGAGTCATTGTAGGAGTGCTTCTCTCTGAACATTTCCTCTGTAGTTTATTTACGGTCTGGGTTTGTTTGTTGGTTTTTTTTTGTTGTTTTTTTAGGGAGGGGGTGTTTTGTTTTTTAGGGTTTTTTAAATTATAATTTTTTAAATTTTCACCCCCAAAAAATTGTTGTTCTTTTTTTCCAGGGTGGGGGGGGGGGGGGGCGTTTTTGGAGACTTGATGAATTGAAGTTATCCTCTTAATATGTATATTTTCCTTAAGATGATGTAGAGTGAATACTAAATAAAAAAATTTTGTGGCAGCAGCGTTTTTCAAGTTCGTTGTTGACTGTATTTCCAATGTTGAAGTTAATTGTTGGATGATCACTATTGATGTGTCCCGTTGAATGTAACAGAAAAGTACTGTGGGCTAACTTTTGTGTCTTTTTGGATCATTTCAATCAGAACAGTTGTGTTCTTTATGTGCTGAAAATTTTTCAAGAGACCATCAAAACAATTTTTCAAATATCCCTAGGCGTCTACAAAATTGTAAAACACACCCTTAGATCTTCCTTGATTCCAAACATATTGACGTGTGTCTCTTCTTTGGAGCATATCAAGAGAGTCACGGAGTGAAATTTAAAAAAAAATAAGCGAAGTATAATATTGTAGAGTTTGATGAGGCATACTGATTGTTCTGTTCCCAGTCTCATTCCTTTCCTCAAAAAGTCGTGGTTTGAAACAAATTTAACGTTTTGTATTGAAATAGCATCTTCAGCAAAATTATACAATTTTATGCTTCTCCTGAGAATCTCCTATTTTGACATACGATGGGTGGTTGGCGGGTGCTCTGGTGTGGTTGGCTCCTTTTTTCCTATAAAACATCTATCGCCTTTATCTCCCCTACTTCTTTTTTTGTTTGTTACTACTCTCTTGTGACACCCCTAGTCTTTGGCACTTATATCTATTACCTTACTTTGTTGCAAGTGCTGTAAAACTCTTACTAAAACCCAAAAAAAACTCGTATTTTGACATAAGACGGTGTTCAATGATGACTGTGACATCATCTCCCCCCCCAGGTGCGGCAGTCGGTGGTGCGGTGGCAGCTATCGCAGCCGGTATCTCCTACATCTACCTCAACGAATGAGACCCACGACCTCGCCCTGATAGATCCTCGTCGCGGTCTACATCTACCAGATTTGACTCGGATAATTCGTCTGTCATGCACATAGCGAAATTGGCACGAAGCGAAAATCTTTTCGTTTGTACGCAAGTTTCATGAGTACATTTTATGTTTCTATACAATGATATAATATATGAAAGTAAAACTTTATGATCTGAAAGTCTGTTCGCTATGTGTGCATATTTTGCTATGTGTGTGATAGACTGTATAAATGTCCCATCGTGATAGATTCAGGTGCTCGTCCATTTTTGGGCATATGGAGTTATTTGCTTCATTTTAAAGCTTTTTTATTTGTCTTGCTTTCGATGAAAAAAATACCCATCTATCTTGAATTGGGGTCGCGATATTTCAGCTTGAAGAAAGTGGGGTCACCTGATTTCAGAGGTAAATTTATCGAGAAAATGGAAGCCAAAGTTTGGTAACTTTCATAGCTTGAGAGTCCCTGGAAAATGAAATTTTACATTTGTTAGACCTTTAATCAACGTATTTCAATCAAATCCAGACAGAAATTGGTTTTGAAATAGACATAAAAGGTGTTGAGGTAAAAACAAAAATTTGTAAAAAAATTGCCAAGCCTGCAGAAAACTGCTGTTTTCTTTGATTTCATTATTTTGACGAGCGCCGGATTCCACCACGATGCATAACATGTTTTCATCCGGACGACTTTATGAAAGGTGCCATCTGGGTCACTGACTCGGCTGTTGCTCTCTAGCTATGGGATCATCCCATCATGCAAAGCGTCATCATGAGACTGAGATCATGAGTCGTAAAAATGACTGACTCCCTAAAGCTTGGCTCCATCCCCCCACCCCATCATTTTGGTTGTTTTTTTTCTTTTGAACTTGAACGTTTAGTTTACAAAAAGCCAAAACTAGTCGTGATGCAAGGTTTAAGATTTCTTCTTTTTCTTCTTCTTCTTCTTCTTCTTCTTCTTCTATCGCGTGGTTGGGTCAACCGTTGGGGCACCACTGCATTGGAAAACCAGCTCTCGCCATCTATTTTTGTCCTCTGCTCTCCTCAGATTGTCACCCATCGTCTTTCCTGTCCACTCTGTAATGTTGTCCTCCCATCTCCTTCTCTGCCTTCCTCTCTTTCTCTTTCCTTGTACGGTTCCTTGCAGGATTGTTTTGGCAAGTCCTGTGGATCTTGTGACATGCCCATACCATTTTAGTTTTCGTCTTTTCACTGTGGTCAGTAGATCTTCATATTGTCCCACTGCGTTGGTGATTCTCTTAAGATTTAAACATATATAAAAAAAAATAAGTTTTCATTTGAAAAAGGTTGACAAGCACTATTTCTAAAGCATTTGTGTTTATATTTATTGCTTTATAGTAGTGCTAGAGACTAATTTGGAGATTTGAGTGGTCAACTTTTCATGACCTATCATGTTTGTTATAGGGCTATACCGTGGTAACTGACGGGACATTTGGACCTGGCCCCGGGATTTTATGCACCCCGCATAATTTAGCAAAATTTGATCATTTTTTGCATAATTTCTGATTATTTTCCTTTATAATCATTCTTTGTTAAAAATTAACAGAATCACCTAACTTCACATTTTTGGGCTCAGTTTGCATAATTTCAGAATTTTTTTTCGCAGAAAACCGCGGGGAGAGATTTAGACTATACTTTCTTACAACGATAACGCTGTCATTCAATATCAGTTCATTTCTTTCCACTCTAAATGATCCGAGCATGTAAAAGAAATATAAAGAATCATATTGACACTTTGCAGTCACTTGGCACAACGATGCGCCACTGAAAATTATCCGTTCTGGCACCAGGCCCGAGAAGTCGGTTGCAGTCGCTCTCCTGACTGGGTGACCAGATGGGGGGTATTTTGTACTGCTGGCTGTGTGACTGAAAAGTGTTAAATGCAGTCATTTGAAAAAAAAAAAAATGCTGAATGCTAATTCTGGGAGGTGTACAGTTTCAGTAACCGACGGTGCAGAAAAAAATACCTCATTTATAGTCCCATCAGTTTCCGTGGAATAGCCCGATACTATAAATAGACATAAGCTTACAATGTCCAAATACAGCTACAATTATTTCAGTCTCTGACATTTCTCACTGTATAATGGATAGAGAATTTATTTAGACATTTGTGATGCAGCGTGGTGGAATCAGGCTCTCGTCAATTTTTGGGCATATTGAGTTATTGGTATCATCCAAAAGCTTGTTCATTTGTCTTGCTTTCTATGAAAAAATTACCCATCCATCTTCAATAGAAGTGGAGATATTTTGGATTGAAGAAGGTGGGGTCACTTGGTTTAAGAGGTAAAATTAGGGAGAAAATGGCTGCCAAAGTTTTGTAAATTCTTAAGCTGGAGAGTCCATGGAACTGTAAATTTATATTTTTGTGCCTTTAATCAACGTTTTCGGTGAAATCCTCAAAGGAATGTGTTTGTAAATGGACATAAAAGGTGTTGAGCCAAAAAACAGAAATTTGATAAAAATTGCTAAACAGGGAGAAAACTGCTGTTTTCTTCGATTTCATTATTTTGACGAGAGCTTGATTTCACCACGCTGCCTCACATTTATTATAAATGTCATCAATGATCGTTTATGTTGCCATAAAAGTTTTTGTTTCTGAGAGTATGGAAACTCCGTTGTGACAGAATGCCTGATGAACGATGACAACTTGCAACTTGTTGGCCATGACCAATGCTATTCTTGTTAATCGCGGGCAGTATTGCATATAGACGTAAGTCATTCTTGGCAACTTTTGAGATACATCCGTATGCAATACTGCCCGCAGTAATGTTCTTTCATGATTATAATCCAAAAATAAAACATTCGATCCAAATCATCATACTTCTTGTCAGTGTGGCTGTTTTCCCTGCCTTTCTTGGTTCAGGCAAAGCGTTTCACCGTCAAAATGAACTATGAGTGTCCAGGAGGGATTTGAACCCTCCGACTGCCCGTAAGGAAAAACGTGACGCTCCAAACACCTTAGCAACAGACCTGGCCCAAGTCGTCAACACTGTTGTTTTGTTTTTTTGTCTTAGTAAGAGTTTTACGGCACTTGCAACACTGTAAGGTCATATTAGTGCCGAAGAATGGATGTGTCACAAGAGGGTAACATGCACAAAAAAGGAGGAGGAGAGATAAGGACAATAGATGTTTTAAAGGAAAGAAGGAGCAAACCACACCAGAGCTTGTTTTGTTTTGTTTGTTTGAGTACAGAAGCACATAGTCATGTCACAATAATGGTCGTTTAGTGCTAGGAAAAAGTCTGATAGACAGAGACAACAGAGGGAAAGTGAAGAAGCTGGATCTCCGACCACCCGCCCTTCAACACCTTGAGATATAACAGGACAGAAAAAGTAAAAAGTAAGTAGAGTAGATCAATATTTTCCTATAAAATCCACACACAAAAAAGTGTTTGAATGGACATATGAAAAGGTGTTGAGCCAAAAAACAGAAATTTGATAAAAATTGCTAAACAGGGAGAAAACTGCTGTTTTCTTCGATTTCATTATTTTGACGAGAGCTTGATTTCACCACGCTGCCTCACATTTATTATAAATGTCATCAATGATCGTTTATGTTGCCATAAAAGTTTTTGTTTCTGAGAGTATGGAAACTCCGTTGTGACAGAATGCCTGATGAACGATGACAACTTGCAACTTGTTGGCCATGACCAATGCTATTCTTGTTAATCGCGGGCAGTATTGCATATAGACGTAAGTCATTCTTGGCAACTTTTGAGATACATCCGTATGCAATACTGCCCGCAGTAATGTTCTTTCATGATTATAATCCAAAAATAAAACATTCGATCCAAATCATCATACTTCTTGTCAGTGTGGCTGTTTTCCCTGCCTTTCTTGGTTCAGGCAAAGCGTTTCACCGTCAAAATGAACTATGAGTGTCCAGGAGGGATTTGAACCCTCCGACTGCCCGTAAGGAAAAACGTGACGCTCCAAACACCTTAGCAACAGACCTGGCCCAAGTCGTCAACACTGTTGTTTTGTTTTTTTGTCTTAGTAAGAGTTTTACGGCACTTGCAACACTGTAAGGTCATATTAGTGCCAGAAGATTGGATGTGTCACAAGAGAGTAACATGCACAAAAAAGGAGGAGGAGAGATAAGGACAATAGATGTTTTAAAGGAAAGAAGGAGCAAACCACACCAGAGCTTGTTTTGTTTTGTTTGTTTGAGTACAGAAGCACATAGTCATGTCACAATAATGGTCGTTTAGTGCTAGGAAAAAGTCTGATAGACAGAGACAACAGAGGGAAAGTGAAGAAGCTGGATCTCCGACCACCCGCCCTTCAACACCTTGAGATATAACAGGACAGAAAAAGTAAAAAGTAAGTAGAGTAGATCAATATTTTCCTATAAAATCCACACACAAAAAAGTGTTTGAATGGACATATGAAAAGGTGTTGAGCCACAAAACAAAACATTTCTAAAACTTGCCCAATGGATGGAACAAATGTCGGTTTCTCCGGCATTATGTTATTGTTATAATAATATATATATATAAGAAAACCCTGAGTTTGTTTCTCGCGTGTGGGGAGGATTTTTATCGAGTATTTCTGTCTTCTGGGACGTCGTTTCCCTCTCAGTCTGGGCTGGCACCGACGGGCAGGGTTGAAGTCGCCTCCCCTAAATGGTGTCGATGGGGGTGTAAAATAAACACCTACCCAAACCCCCCCCCCCCCCAACCACACCCCCCTGGGTATTTGACTCGGAGCTCCAACATCATTTTTTAAAAAATAATAATAATATAAAAAATTACAGCTTTTGCGGCTTGATTTTTTTCGGGTGCTTTATTTTTCTTTGGGAACAAAATGTGAGTTGTATCGTGGTGAAATTAGGCACTCATCGTTAAAATTTATAATAAAATCTGGGAAACGAACATTTTTTTACCCAACGGGCCATTTTTGTCAATGTCGGTGGATCAAAAAACCGTGGAAAACCAAAAGAAAATAAAATCCCTGAATTTTTTGTTCCTTTTCTGTGAGTTATCTGTCTGAACCGAAAAAATCTGGCTGTTCCAAAGATATTCATTAATCTAAGAACAGACTCCACTGCAAATTCTTTTTCTCATAAAACCTCCTTTTCAAGTTGGGACAAATTACAAATCTATGAGCAAGATAAATGTAATCAATATAAATGAGCAAACGCCAGTTGAAAAGCTGAAACATTTTTATTAATTCTGAGATGTTTCAAGAAAAACATACAGCCATAAAATATATATATATATATATATATATATATGTATACCAGGCAGTACATAGGATTCTCAAAACTGGATCATCTTGCACAAGCAAAGAACTGTGACTATTAATTAAATATCATTGCAGTTGCAAAAAAAAAACATTTAAAAAAAAGTAACTCCTTTACTTTTTTAAAACTCAGCCTGTAAAGGTGCAAATGTAAAGCAGGGTCACATGATGTCTCAGATTATCTTTCTCTTTTTTTTTCGCAACAGCAACGATACGGTATGGCTACAACTGAACGAAGCTAGCACCCGTTTTTGTGACAAACTGTGATAAGTTAGTGAGCGTATAAAAGACACAAAAACTATCCATTAGTACCACAAACACTACAGACACGCAACTAATTCTTTTACTTTGTATAGAATACTCTGTGGTAAAAAAGGTACTACCCATGAGAGTACGGTGTATGCAAAATTCTAAAATGACTCGGCTACTGAATCATTTTAAATCTTTTTTTAACAAAACAATTACAGTAGCCTGAAGACTGAACAAAAACAACAATGAGACCATCGTCTCTTCAAGTTCAGGGTTCTAAAAATCTCAAAAGGGTTAAAAGTTTTAGAAAAAAAACCCCCACAAAAGCTATCATCATGAATTAATAATAGTAATACAATGGGTTAAAAGTTTTAGAATTTAAAAAAACAAAAAAGAAGCTATCATCATGAATAAATAATAGTAATGCACATTGCACACATTCTTCATGAATGCCTTTCCTCTAAAACCTCCAAGTGTCGAAGTCCCATCAGATCGGCCATGATTTTTGTCCCGTGGTGTTACAGAAGATTTAATCAGCTGTAATTCGAGATTCTATTTCGGTTCGTTTATGCCATTTACAAATTCTTTTTAGCCCAAACATTTCAACTCCTTCACAATCGAGCTCTTCTTCCTTTTTTTTTTTTCATTTGACTTTCTGAAAATGTATCATCTATATATACAGGTTTATGGCCTTGACTTGCTTGATTTGCCTGATCTCAAGCCTTTTCCAACATATTATTATTATGGTGAAATCAAACGACTTCCCCACACACCACAGACTATTTGTTACCAACACTCGGACGGTTTACATTTCCCGACCATATACTACGGCCAACCGTATCAGAACACATACAGTACAATGTCATGATCTCCACTTCCATACGCGTTTATTAGATTGAGTGAGGAGAAGCACATTGAATGTCTGTCATTTTGTGCAGGGGGAAAGAAAATCATGACAGATAGACAGAAACAACAGAGGGAGGAAAAAAGAAGTAGGACCTAAGCAGAGGCGCCCTCCAACCACTCAATTACTCACTCGACACATACTTATGAACACACACACATACAACCGCATACACAGTCGCTCTGTTTTACTCAAAAACCATTTCCCCCCCTACTCCCCCCCCCCTTCCCCCGCCCCGACACACAAACGTTGAGATTCAATAATCAGCACTGCCATACCCGCCCATCAGAACCAAATCCAGTCCAGGGTTCCTGCCACAAACTCCCCACCAAATTTAAGGAAGTTTCCAGGAGAAATGTTAAAAATTCAAGGAGATTTGGTCAAAAATTCATGCCGAAGGCCTACACTTGTCCGAAAGGAATCGTAGTATTGATTTTCCGGCAAAATTTTTGTTAATGTCCGATCCAGCGAAATTCAAGGAGGCTCCTCAAATTCAAGGAGTTTTCAAGGAGACTTTTTCCTTGAATGACAATTCAAGGAGTATTCAAAAAGACTCGCTGAATTCAAGGAGGCCGCAGGAACCCTGCCAGTGATCTACAAAGACTGCTCTCCTCTTCCTGGCTTTATTAAGTATCACAGACTGACTAGCCAAGCCATTCTTAACCCATTCTCTCTCTCTCTCTCTCTCTCTCTCTCTCTCTCTCTCTCTCTCTCTCTCTCTCTCTCTCTCTCACACACTCTCATCATCCTCTCAGTAAGCAGATATATCATTACTCCAGATTCTGTATCACAGCATTGATGAACTCAGAGGTTCCGTCGTAGCCTCCCATGTCTTGAGTTCGAACCTGAAACATACAGAGCAGGGTGAGAGAATTGTCTTGGAAAAGTAGATTCTCACTTTCTCTCTCCTCCCCCCTTCCAACCGCTATCTTTACACAAATATGTCTGTCCCCGTCGTTTCATGCAAGAAAAATTCCGAAATTATGCAAACAGAGCCCAAAAATGTGAAATTATGCGATTCTGTCAATTTTAACAAAGAATGATGAAGGAAAATAATTTAAAAATTATGAAAAAAATGATCAAATTTGGCAAAATTAAGCGGGGTGCATTAAACCATAGGGACAGGTATATGTCATAAACCTTGTTCACACAGATACAGATCAGGTCTCTGCACCGACACTCCTGTCCTGACACCGCCAAAGGTCAGGGTTAGAAGAACTCTCAGCCTAGAGGACCCAAAGACAGATTTAGTTTTAGTTTACTAGAAGTTTTACGGCGCTCGCAACTGCATAAGGTCATATGAGCGCCAGAAGATTAGAGCTGTTACAAGAGAGTAACAAACATAAAAAAGATGAAGGGGAGATAAGAACGATAGATGTTTGATAGGAAAGAAGAAGCAAACCACACCAGAGCACCCGCCAACCACCCACACCCAAGGACAGCTACCTGTGTTTTCCCTACAGTACGTCAAAGACACACATCTCGGCCAATCATAATGTAAATCCAGCAGCCGACCAAAAAAAAAAAGTTCAGGGGCCCAAAGCTCAAAACATTTAACAACTTCAGCTGACAGAAGCTGAGGTAATACCGCTTACCACCAGCAAGTTGTTCACATGTACTTAGCCCAGAAATTTTTCCAAAATTTTCCAGGAGAGAGCATGAAGGGAAAAAACAAACTTTCATTCTTTAAAAAAATGATACCACCAACATTCTAAATTTTTTCCTTCGTATTTTATTATCGTATCAGTACGTTGTGTTTTCCTATCGTATCCATACGACGAGGGGAACTTTGTGCGACCACTTTCCAAATAAGAAATTTACTCCTTAATCCGATCCGTGCGCTTTGCATAGCAGTCTGTCGAAATGATTTTTTTAGAAATACTGAAAGTTTCAAAGAGATCTTCGTAAAAGAAGTATTCTAAAATGTGAAGAATACAACCCCGGGGGTACAAAATGACCACAGGATGTACGGATAGGGTAACCAGACCACCCACCGACCCGAGACTAAGCCCCCACTCACCTTGCCAGCCTTGATGACCTTGAGCAGGGCCTCCTCAATCATGCGGGCGTGGTGCTCGAGATGCAGGTGGTTGAGCATGTTGCAGGCACTGAGCAGCGTGGCCGTCGGGTTGGCGATGTTCTTGCCCACCGCCTCGGCGAACGCGTGCCGGGCACCCTGGGAGAACAACGGTACACGTGTAAGTTTTTGTAAGAGTTTTACAGCACTTGCAACAAAATTAGGTCATAAAGGTGCCGAAGATTATCAGAGGTGTTACCAGAGAGTAAGCAAAGCATCAAGTCATTTTCTTTTATTGTCTCGAAAAATTTGGGGCAAAGGGAAGTTGGTTGGCTTTATTGTGACCTGTAGACAGCAGATCCTTTGTGGCTGAGGCTTGCGTCTTCATGTGCTGGCGGGACATTTCTAGATCTTGACTTATAGCAGCACTGACTCAAGCCGGAGATGGAGAGAGAGGGAGGGTATAAAAAAGGGACAGAGACATTCAGTGAAGCCTGCTTAAACCAAACAAGGGCAATCCAAAAACAGCAGTAGACAGAAAGAAAATAAAATTTCTGTATTTTAAAAAAA